AAATTTTGTACTTAGATATTCATGATCACAGGATATAAAATTTCCTTAAATTTCCATTTATATTTTTGTTGCTGAGAAATATGATAGAGATAATCCATAAAAGACTCCCAAACATAACATGCATTAGGATAAAATTAGGTGAGGGAAGTGGATGGAAAGACAAGTTTATGAAGAAAACGGAGCAAAGAAGAACTTACGTATTTTTAAATGGTGGGTATCAAATTGCTGTGGTATTTAGGTATCACTGAACACATAGCCAAAAGTTTCAAAATAGTGTTTAAATATATTAAAGCTACACTAAATGGGAGTTACATCCTTTGCAGCCATTTAAACTTGCGAGGAAAAGTTTCAGGTAAAAAATAAAAAATCCTGAGGGGTAAGGTACTGAAGCCAAAGCGGTGCCCAATTTCAGAATCATCTGTGTTTAGGGCTCCCTCTTGTGGTGAGATTCAGAATCCTGGTGAGTCACAGCTCAAGAGAAGCATCTAGCAAAAACTAAAAGTGCCAGATTCTGCAAGCCACACCCTTCCTGGTGTGTTTCCTGGGATTGTCTCTGGGAAATCTGAGCTGAGTAGGATTCAGCACACCTGTCCTTGTTGGCTTGTCATGTGCTTTCTCCACCTTAGCTTCCCTCCCAGCAAAAGCAGGGAAAGATTTCACTCCTCTTCTCTAGTCAAGCCCAGAATCACTCGGGAGAGAAAGAGCAGGACAGAATGTTACCCTGCACAGCTCACCAAGAGGGTTGCTTGATGACCACTTATTAATCTGACACGTTTATTGAGTATTGACTCTGTGCCGGCAAGACACTTCATACTAACCATACTAGATCTCTGATGTGGTAAGTGGGTGGTAGGCGGCCACCCACTAGTGGGAGGGGCCCCCAACTTTTCTTTTTAAGAAGCTTAAGTTCTTAAAGAAAAGAGGAACCCAGCAATAACTAACCACCACGGGAGTTTACAAAAGAAATTTAAATGATCCACAAACATTTCAAAAGATGTTCAATTGCTCTTGTAATTAAATAGACACAAATTAACCACAGTGAGAAATCATTTGATTAGACTGGCATAGGTTTGATAATATCCTAGTTTGACAAGAGTGGGGGTACCTGAGAAATACACACGCCTTCATACTTTGTTGGTGAGGATATATCTGGTACAATAATTTGAGGGAAAATGAAGAATTTGAAGATTTGTTAAAAGTCCATACCTTTTCCCCCATTAATTCCCCTTTGAAGACTTTTGTCAGGATCCTGGCCCCAGCCCACTGCTGAGACTCTCAGGAACTTTGTAAGATTTTGGTTACATGTTCTTGTTTTTAAAAACAGCCTTTTGGGGGCTGTGCTTCCCACAGTTTGCTGTGCCAAGAATGGGGAAAGATATAAGGTACCCAACTCAGCCACCTGGGGCCAGGGGCTCAAGCATCACTCTCCATCTCTGCCTCCTCTCCCATCACGTACACACACGGACCTGCACACGTGCGCACACACACACACACACACACGCACAAGGGTAGAAAGAGCCCTGGACTTGAACATGACCCCCAGGTGGCCCTGCCCCTCAGGGTATTAAGGACCTGCCCTTCTAGGGGCCCTGGTCCACCCCATACACAGGGGATTGGATTGGATGACCTCCCTGAGTTCCCTCAGCTTTAACCTTAGTCTGCCCTCCAGGAGTTTACAAGTAGTAGAAGATGCAGGAGACCAAGTTCATGCAACAGACATTTACCGAGTACTGCTAGGCATTCGAGTTCAAAAAATGGCCTCTTTCTCCAGGAGTTTAAATCTAAACCATAGTACAAGGTAGGAAGTGACCACTGCTGTGAAAGAGAGAATTCTCTACACATTTAAGGAAAAGGAGGAACATTTGTGCGAAGCTAGGGGGAAATTTTCCATAAAAATAGACAGTGCCAAGTGAGCATACAGATAAGAAAAAAAAGTGGTTGTGACATAATAAGAAGTATGTACTTGGTCTCTGCCGCATTTCCTGGTACACCACTTCTAAAACCTTGGGATCTCTGATGTGGTAAGTGGCTTTTCGTATGCTTATGAGATGGCTGGGGGCTGGGTTCTCCCGGGTAACCCCAGGATGGGGCTGGTTGTCGGTGAACCACACATGTGATCGGAAGATTGGATCTTTCATGCCACCCACCAGCACCTCTGGGGGGGGGAGAGGGACTGACATTGAGTCAATCACTTTAATGGTTGATAATTTAATCAATGGTGCTTATGAAATGAGGTCTTGGTTTAAAAAAAAACACCCTAATTGAAGGGGTTCGGAGCTCATATGAACTGCGGAACATTAAGAGGTGCTGGGAGGCTGGTGTGCCGGGAAGGGGCACGGAGGCCCCTGCCTCTGCCCATACATTTCTTCCCTCTGGGTGTTCCTGAGTCACATCCCCTTATAATAAACTGGTCATCTAGTAAGTAACCTGGTTTTGAGTTCTGTTGCAGGGTGGCCTGTGCCAGGGAGGTCTCACCTGTGCACGGGGGTGCGACCTCTGCCTGGATTCAGTTGCAATTGGGCTTTTGATTCCAGTCGAGAAAGAACTCACAAGAAAGTGGAGCAGCTGCAAGCAAAGGGGAGTTTGTTAAAGTGAGAGTACACACTCAAGGAGGGAGTGCAGGGGAGCCCAAGAGATGAGCAGCGGGTGAGGTTCGGGTTGGGTGGTCTTACAGCTGGAGTTTAGCAGGGTGTGGCCCACTCATCAGGACAGGTGGGGTTTTCTCCAAATAGAAGGGTTAGGGGTTATACCCTCTTTTATCCCCGATATAATCAGCCTAGAACTGTCATGTAACAAGAGGTGTGCTTTTTAATGTATTAATGATCATATAATGAACTTCAGGGTAACTGTGCTACCTTTGGTCCCCATCTAGAACCTAGCTGGTTTGCTTTCACTTAACCTGTTTTGCCATCAGTTAATTCCCTAGAATCTAGCTGGTGTGTTTCCATTTAAACTGTTTTACTAGCTGGCCACACAAACAAGCCTCAAGCTTCTAATATCTGTGGTTTCTTGACTCACTCAGGGCCTGTCTCTCTTCCTGAACTACATTACTTATATCAATTCTAGCAACTTATGCAACCTGGAGAGGGGTTGGTAGTGATGCTGAGCTGAAGAATGCACTTCGCAAACACTCAAGGTAGGAGAGCAAGGGAGAGGCTTTTATTTAGAGATAAAGTGAGAGGACAGAGCTCCTGGCACATGCCGGGAGGGGACAAGAGAGTCCGTGGCTGGGCTTTGCCTAGGGGTTTATATCTTATTTTAAACTGAGTTGCCTATTTTTTTTTACTGGTTCCTGACCAAATGCTGTCTTTTGTTTTAACCAATGTCACTGAAGAATGCCTATATTCCTAATTTGGTATTTCTGTGCTAAAGAATTTGTGTGACTCCAACTTTGCTTAATGTTTAACAGGAAGGAGTTTAGGTAGGAGTTTCTTTGCACACTGTTTCATTGTTCTGGCAGTAATTTTCCTGCTTTGCTTTTTCTGGAGGCCCTCACCCTACTCTCTAAACCCACCGTCCCTGTCTCAGTAGGAACCTCTGGCTTACAGCCAGTCAGTCAAAGCAACAGATGACACCCTAGACCTGTGACTGGTGTCTGAAGTTGGGGTGGGGAGGCAGTCTTGTGGGACCGAGCCCTTAACCTTGTGGGATCTGATGCTGACTCCAAAGTACACAGTGGCATCATTGAACTGAATTGTAGGACACCTAGTTGAGAACTGGAGAATTTCTTGGTGTAAAAACCCACACACCTGTTTTCAGAGATACTGAGTATATAGAAAAACAGCATTTTTCTATTTTACTGCCACAGGAGTTTAGGAAGGGGCCAAGATCTGTTTAGCCTAACTACTGAAGGAGAGTTTCAAAGGGAGCCGAGACTTGAAGTGGGTCTTACCAAGCAGTATTTATGAGGGTTTGGGAGGGAGGATTTCCCATGAGCAGGGGCAGAGACAGATCTGGGGGTCCTGAAGCTAACATAATTTAGGAAGGCCCTTTATGAAAAATAATACAGTAATGACAAATTTAATATTTGGAATGAAAGTAAATATTTACTTAATGTTTTGCTAATGGGTTTCAGCCCCGGGCAAGCTCACTATGGATTCAATGAGACCAAGAAATAACAATGGAACATTCTTGGGGTGAAAGGGCTTAGACCTAACTTAATTTCCACGGTGGCAGGTCAATCACTAGAATCTCGTCTGCTCAGAGAGAGGCTGCACGCAGCAAGCTGGTCTCTGCCTCTGGGCCTCTCCATCTCCACAGCTGTCTCGGTCTCTGTCCTCAGCGCTGTCACCACGCCAGTCTCTGCTCTCCTGTAGCTGTGCAGCCATGCCACCATGTCACCCAGAGCACTGGGTGGAGCTCTTTATATAGAGTCAATAACAACGTATTGCCCACACGTGTGTAGTGAGCTAGCTGACCAGGGCCAGGTGAGAATCCTGGCCACAGGAACCTTCACTTTATCCACACTTAGAATTAGAAAATAACAAGTTACAAATTTTTTAAAGTTGAAAAATACCACAAACATTATACAATTTTTAAAAAAACATGTTTTTATTAATGAACTCTCTGCTACACCTCTATAATATTTTTTCCTATAGTTTTGCTACAAGTTCTTTCACTAACTCTTCAGATGACAATCTTGTCAAATAAATTAGTCTTCCTCTGGCATGGTGGATAAAAATTTAATGATTTATTAATTTAGGGAAGTTTCAGCTTCTGTGCCAGGTGTCAATTTATTGCATCTCAGCTCCTCACGGCCCTTCAGTGCCTGCCCTCCTCTAAGGAGGAGACTGTGGAAATATTTATTGTTTGCCCACTGCTATGTACTAAGCTTTGTCAGGAGAGGGCGCTGGAGAGACACTGGAGGACAGAGGGGTGTCTCTTCTGGGTTCAGGTGCGTCCCCCTTGGCCGACTCTTCCAGGACCTGGTTCCTGCAAGGCACACGGCTTCTGCAGCGTCAATATCAGCGATTCCCAGCAGCAGGCAGCTTCCCTGGGTACCCTTGGGGAAGCTTCCTGGGGGTTCTGCGGCCTGTAAGGCACTGACCTGTGGACAGCCACCCCTGGCATTCTCCCGTGACTTTGGGGCAAGTTCTGAGGCATGACACCTCCCTGGGGAGGGTTCCTCTGGCACCCCAAGGAGCAGACTTCCAGCAAGTTCTGCCAAGCTGGCACCTCAGTGACTTCTCTGCTGTGCAACGAGCCAAGCTCTCCATTGAGGTCTGAACGTCAGCCCTGAAGAGGAACCCCTTCCATGCATTCTCTGCCTTGCCCAGATGGACAACCGCTCCCTGCTCCTGCACACCTCCATTCCCTGCCAATCCCCCTTGCTTCTTTCTGGCTAACCCCTTATTATTTCAATCCCCTGTTAAAGTGAATTACATTAAATTCCTTGTTCAAACTGCTGTAGGGTGTCTGTCTCCTGATTGGATCTAATACATCTTTACAATCCATCATTGGGAATGATTATCATAAATTTTAAGGATTATTTTTCTATCAAGTTTCACATATGAGTTGTAAGGTTTCAGGGCATTTTGAATTTTTTTGCTCAGTGACTAATCTTTCAAACCCTTTGAATAAGTGTTATTTATTAATTATGAGTTTCATTTGGTCTTTGTCAAAGGGCAGCATTTATTGTCAAATTAGTAAAGAACTTACATCCTTTTCTGATGTGTTAATACGATTCATTCATTGGATTATCAAACAATCCAAAAACCTATTCACTAATTACTCAAGTTTATTTTACCCCTGAATCAATTAGGGCTTTTTGTGTGATCTGAAAATTTTTTGTTACAATTTGCTTCTCAATGTCAGAATAATTTATATTGATTTTTCTCTCTCATCTTTATCAGTTTTGTTTCAGGGTCCACTAATTTCAAGTTGCATTTAAAGATGATGAAGAAAGGTGCCCTTTAGATACCATAATCTCGAGTCTATAATTTCTCACTCATTTGATTAAAATGTGCCAAAACAATTTTTGAAATTTCAGTGAAAAGGCCACATTCGAGTTTTATCAAACATACTGTTCCCATCAAAAAAGGGGGAAAGGTACTGTATTTAATTATCTACACTGCTGAGGACACTCACCAACATCATCTGCTACAGACGGGTCAGAACACAGTTTTCTCTGGGCTGCAGGACAGAACCTTCTGTCCAGGCACTTAGTAACCCCACAGCATCAGAGTTCTTCATCTGTCTTACTAGACCTTTATTCATATATTTAGGCAAACCTTTTCCCCTGGCAAAAATCACCTTCCACTCTAGACACAGGAAATGCAGATGCTCACTCTTCCAGCCTCCCTGGAAGCTGCAGGACAGTCCACCAGTTAGTCACACCACCCGCCCCCTCAAATGGGGAGCAAGTGACTCCAGGAAGTAAGGGCTGAGCAGACCCCCTGGCCCCAAGTACAGCCACCTGTACTTCCCAGGGCAGTGGCAGTAATGGTTCCAGTTGCTGTGCACAACACAGTAGTGGAGATACCAGCCTGTGACTTCCCAGGCACCGTCACAACAATGCCGTGCCTCCCCAAGCTCTCCTGGGACGCTGGCCCAGCCTAGCTTGATGAGGCCACGTGCAGGAGTTTTGGCTGATAGCTGGTCTTAGCCGCCACACCTCACGTGGGAGAGGAAGCCTCAGGTGATACCAGCCCAGGCCTGTCTTCTCACCCGGCCTTCCTGTCTTTGTGGCTGAGACCGTGGCTTGGTGGAGCAGAGACTACTGGCCTCTCTTCACCTTGTCTGAGTTCCTGGCCCACAGAATCCACGAGCATAATAGAACAAGCATTTTAGGACACTGGGTTCTAAAGGGGTTTGTTTTGCAACATCTGGAACAAATGCGGATTGCAGAGGTGTGGGCAGGGGAGAGGCTGCAAGCTGCCCAAGAATGGCCAGGCCTCATATCCAGCCAGGGTATGTCCTCAGCCTGGGAGTGAAAATCATCGGAGTGGAGCCAGATGAGAGCTGGAGGCCTGGGGGAAGACTGTCCTGAGGCCCGCAAAGCCTGGCAGGTGCCCTAGGACACGGGCGGACCAGGAAGGTGGGAGATGGAGCTGAGAGGGGCAGGGACAAGGCTGCAGGGGTTAAGTGTGAACCGTAAGTGATCTGCGCCCAGCTGAGGGGGTGTGTGTGCTCTGCAGTGTCCTCGGACCTCACTCTGTGGCCCCCGTGGTCCCAGCAGGCCACAGCTCCAGGCACAGGGCTGTGCCTCGCATCGCATCTCAGAGGAAGCTGTGTGGAATACTAAAACATTTAAATGCTGCAATCAGGCTTCTGAAAGCTATGTGGCTGGAATTATTGAGGGAAATTTACAAGTTAAATAACCTAAAAGGCTGCAGATGCAAAAGACATTAACTGGCAGGGACTTGCGGAGCACAAGAATGACTCAGCCCTGCTCTAATAGGAGAGTGGTCAGAGGTCACCCAGGAAGGGTTCAGAGCCCTCCCAGCCCAGTCCCCACCTGGGCGTCCCCAGACTCCAGCAGGATAGGTTCAGTGTTCCTGCATTACAGGGGGTTTAGTCCCCTGCCCCCAAATGCTAGCAGCTCTCGGTTATGGTGGCAAAATACTCTCTGCCCCTGGGCCTGTGGTTGAGAATCTGAAGCCTTGTTTCACAGGCAGGACCCACTGAGAGGTGGCTGGTATGCCCGGAACTAGATGCAGACCCATGCTTTCCAGGTCAGGGGCCAGGTGCCCTCTGTCCCCCACTCAGCTCCACCAGAAGTGGTTTGTGTTGGGTCTCTGTGAAGCCAGGCATATGCACAAGTTTCCATAAAATCACTTGTCAATGCATTAGGAGCCACCCTAATGACCTCATCCTAACTTAATTATCTGCAATAAGGTCATCTCCAAATGACCCTCATACGTACTGCTGGTGAGGACTTCAGGGTCTTTCTGGGGACACAAATCAACCTGTAACACGTAGCAAGTCTACACAAGTGTATCTGGCAAGTTCTGTGCGAGGCATTGTGCCAGCCACCGAGGAGATATGGGTCCTGCCTTTGAGGAGCTGGCCCCAACCTCAGAGGGTAAGCACCACCACTTCGATTACCGGCAACCTTTATGCGAAACTCATTGCTGGAGTCATTTCTGAACGGAATTCATGTTTTATTTGGCTCCAGTTCCCTCTGGCTGCTGGCTACCTGCCAAGTGCTGTTCAGGGTTCCCTGGCAAGGGGGTGTCCTGAGGAACTTGCCCTGGGGAATGTGGTGGTGAACATGCAGAGAGTGGGAACACATGCAGAGTGCATGTAATTGCCCTTAGCATTTACACCCTCAACCTGAAATTAAATGCAGGTGCTTCAGTCCAACAGCCAGCCCCTCCACCCCCTTGCCCCCCCGAACCCCCACCCCAGCCCACTGTTCCCCTCCCCTGCAGCTGGACACACATGATAAAGCCCCAGGGCTGAGCAGCTTAGTGTAGGCACCCTTCAGAGGTAAGGCTGCCTCTTCTGAGATGCATACCTGCAGGGCAGAAAGAGCCCTGCTTTTGGGTCGTTGTGGAGAGTTGTCCCGAGACCGTGTGTTCTAACCCAGCTTAGTCACCAACAAGCAGCGTGACCTTGGGCAAATCCCGTCCCCCTGTCTGGCCTCTGCCCAGTAGCTGGGTGCTCTAAGCTCCTCCCCAGTGCCAAGATTCTGACTCTGTGGGGAGGGCAAGGAGGGTTGTGGAGAACCCCACAAACAGGACCAACTGCCCTTCAGTTTCCAAGAGCAACTTAATTGCTTATGGGGCTTAGCTGCCCAGGGGCTCTTTGGTGTGATTGGGCTCAGGCTGGGCACAGCAAGGCCACTGTTCTCCTCAGGAAGTGTCAGATAAAGAGTAGGGCTCCCCTACAATCATACCAGGACCAGCCTCCACGATGCGGTCTCACCTCAGCTCCCCTTGATATCCTGGCTGGCCTTGCCTCCCGACTGGGAGTACAGTCACACACATACGCACACATGCACACATGTCCGTTATAAGCTCAGTGTCTCCCTGATGTGAAAGGTGCAGCCCTCCTCTCTCTACCCTCATAAGCCAGCTCAAGTTTCACTCCTCTGTGAAGCCTTCCTGGATACATTTTCATGCAGCCAAAATTCTCCGCCATTTCAGTCATAGTGCTTATTGCCTGGACTGTACACTGGGGTCTGAATAATTTCAAAGCAACATTTCAGTGCAGCTTCAGACAAGAACTATCCCAGCGCGCGCCTTGCTATGCGCCTCTCTTCACTCACCGTGTGTGGCGCTCCCTCAGACTTCTTATTCTTTTTTTTTTGAGAGGGCATCTCTCATATTTATTGATCAAATGGTTGTCAACAACGATAAAATTCTGTATAGGGGACTCAATGCACAGTCATTAATCCACCCCCAGCCTATTTCTCATCAGTCTCCAATTTTCTGAAGCATAACAAACAAGTTCTTACATGGTGAACAAGGTCGTACATAGTGAATCAGTTCTTACATGGTGAACAGTGCAAGGGCAGTCATCACAGAAACTTTCGGTTTTGATCACGCATCATGAACTATAAACAATCAAGTCAGATATGATTATTCGTTTGATTTTTATACTTGATTTATATGTGAATCCCACATTTCTCCCTTATTATTATTATCATTTTTTTAAATAAAATGCCGAAGTGGTAGGTAGATGCAAGATAAAGGTAGAAAACATA